CGCCATCTCTGACACACTTAAGCCCAGGGCTGCACTCACTGTGACAACCCATCTGGTTGAGAGTGTTCCTCTTCTTGGCCAACCCTCCCCACCTTTCCAAGCATGTTATCCCTTTCCAAGGAATAGCCATGGAAAGAATACATAGAACATCAGAAATCAAAACTAAGCTAGGTCCACAAGAACCAAAATACAACTCTGAGTCTATCCCAATTAAATTTTAAAATTATCTTATAAAGAGAGAAAAATGTCATTACAAGGACAGAGGAGAAAGGAAAAAAAATAAAAATGGATGTAAAAAAATGTACTTGAGCGTCAAAAATACAAAACAAAGAGAAGAGGTACTGAAGTAAAAGAACTGAATAGATTTCCAACAGGCAGCTCAAGAAGGCAAAGCAAAGTACTATTTATAACTGCAGAAAGCAGGAGTTAAAAGAATAAAAAGAATTTGCTTGGCATGTCTCAAGGTAAAAGAACTGAAAAACAAATTCAAGCTTTGAGTTGCAATACTGACAGATGGTATAGGCAAAATCTTGAATGAGCCAAGAAGGGTCAAAAGAAGATGCAAGGAATATACAGTCATTCTATCAAAATAATTGACATTGAAATATTTCAGGAAATACCATATGGCCAAGAGCCAATGGTAATGAAAGAAGTTGTTTAAGCTGCATTGAAGGCGCTAACAAAACATAAGACTCCAGGAATTGGAGGGATACTAACTGACATGTTTCAACTAACGCAACCCTGGACGTGCTCACCAGTCTATATACTAGGAAATCTGGAGGGCAGTTGCCTGGCCAACTGATTGGAGGAGATACATATTTGTTCTCATTCCCAAGAAAGAGATCCAGTACACTATGGAAATTATGGAATAAAATCATTAACATAACATGCAAAAGATAATTAAAAAATGGATAGGACAAGTACATTGACAGAACTGTCATTAGTTCAAGCTGAGTCTCAAAGAGGCTGTAGCATTGGCTGATGTCAGATGGATCCTGGCTGAAACCAAAGAATATGAGAAAGTCTAGTTATGCTTTATTGATTATGCAAAAGCATTGAATGTGTGGATCATAACAGTGAGAATAATGGGGATCCCAGAACACTTAATTTTGCTTATATGACATCTGTAACTAAACCAAGAGGCTGTTGTTTGAACAGAACAAGGGAAAACTGCATGGTTTAAAATTAAGAAATGTGTGCTTCAGGGTTGTATCCTTTCTCAGTTGGTATGCTGAGCAAATCCTTCAAGAAGCTGGACTTTATTAAGAGGAATGTGGCATTAGATTAGAAGAAATCTCAACAACCTGTATTAGGGAGATAAATACAACCTTGCTTGCTCAAAGTGAGGACTTGAAATGCTTGGGGCAGAAGATCAAAGACCACAGCCTTTAATACAGATTACATCTCAACATAAAGTAAACAAAAATCCTCACCAATGAACTGATAGTGAACATCATGATAGTCGGAGAAAAGATTAAAATTATCAACAATTTCATCTTTCTTGGATCCACACCCTTGGTACCAGCTGTCAGAAGATGTCTTGCTATCAGGAACTTCTCAAATTATCAAGGTACAATTATGTCATTGTGAAGATGAATGTGTGCCTGATTGACACTATCATCCTTTCAATCACTTGTTATACAGTTGATGGTTGGACAATGAATAAGGATGACAGATTAATAATTGATGTCTTCGAGCTGGAGAAAAGTATTACGCATTGGAGAAGAGTTTGAATATACTGTGGACTGCCAAAGAATGGGTATGTCTTAGAAAAATAACAGCCAGAGTGCTCCTTGGAAGCAAAAGTGATCAAGCTTTATCTCACATACTTCAGCATGTTGGTAGGAAAGGCTATTCCTTGGAGGGACATCATCCTTGGAAAGGCAGAAGGGTTGGGGAAAGGGAGGAAGAGCCTCAAATAGACGGGTTGTGAGTGACTACTGCAATGGGCTCAAGTGTATCAGAGATGACGACAGGGTTCAGATCTGTTGTTCAAAGCGTCACTTAATGGCACCTAACAATTATACATAAATCTCCACAAATTCTTCATATGCAAAGACTTCAAACAATAAAAGCGTATTACTTCAATTTTAGAATTTAGATAATATTTGTAAAATTAAGCTAGAACACACCATTAGTGAATATGTATCTCTAAAATTAGAATTCTCTAAGGTTGAGAAATATTGAAAGATATACTGAGGGGGTTTCTCTGTCCTGGCTATACAATATTAACTTTAAAAAATCAACAACCAGAATCTTTGAGAAAGGCCTGGCTATTGGAAGTCTTAGGAAAGAAAGGTCAGTAGGTAATCTTCATGTATCACCTGGCTTGAGAGCTAGTGATAATAGCAATAAATTAGGCCTAACTGGAAAATTCTTCCTATTCTACTTCTCATAACAAAACATATTTTAAAATGCAGCTTACCATTAGTATTTTCATTATTGGAGGCTTTAAAAATGTTTTTCTTAGTGGATATTACAAGTGATTTTGAATGTTATTTTCCTTCCTGATTCCACAAAATTGTAGCTGGTATAAATCCATTAAAATGACACACAAGTTTTTACTTAACTCATGTCCCTGACCGAAAATGGGGTCATAGAGGCATCTGATTTGCTCTAACTTCACAAGGAGCTGAAGGATCAAGTTAACTCAAGGCTGATTCCTGAGGCAGAAGTGGGCAAGCTTCATCTTTTTATGGTCTTTGACATTAATCATCTCTCTGATGGGTTTGGTAACTTGTCATAATAGTCACACAGAAATCAAGACAACACTCAAACAGTCAAGAAAGTAGTTTATTAGGAAAGTAACAAGTTACAATTCAGGACCAGAAATGACTCAGGATACAGTTCTTTGATCAGGACAGCCTTTTCTCAGCTGTGCCTGCAGACAAATCTCTCTGGTCCATAGCCTTGGCCTCTGCCATACTCAGACAAGTGTGACAAAAATAAAAACCCAAAAACCCACAAAACA